ACGCTCCAGCACGTCCAGATCTTTCTTGTGGCGGAGGCTCCAGAACTCGACGCAGCATTCCAGGTGGGGTCTCATGAGAGTGGAGCAGAGGGGGAGAATCACCTCCCCGGACTTGCTGGCCACGCATCTCTTGATGCAGCCCAGGATACAATTGGCAATAATAAAATAGGGTAGCTGAACAAAAAGGAGGTGCAGGAAAGTACACGGGAACAAATCAGAGGCACTGAGCAGGTTCTATGCAAAGATTTTACAGTCCAAAATTGTTCATCTTGGAAGACAGATGCATTGGGGGAGTGAAATGGCACATACAAGAACTATGAATCTGTGAAAGCAGTCAAAGGAGTAAACAGAAAACAAACACTTCTTGGGGAAAAGGGCTCTGGAGCCCAGTTAAATTACCAGAGCTAACAAAGGTAAGTACTTTCAAAAGAAGCAAAATTACATCTTGCAACTCTAAAAGACCTTGCAGAAGATCTAAATACAGTTACTTCTGGCACCAACATGATAGACTTGCAGTGAGCTTCACCATCTAATTGCAAGTATTATAAAATATCACTGCCCAGGTAAAGCTGCTGCAGAAAGCAGAAGCTAAGCATGTCTGAAAGCAAGCAAAACCAAGATAAGTCCCTGCAGTTGCCTGGGTTTTAAGCAAATAAGGTGTAATATATATGTAATGTTTAATATATACACCCATTAATATGTTATATATAATCTATATATAATATAGATTTATTCATTCTAATCAGATATATAAGAACTTAATGTTTGCAGATACACAACACATGAAAATTGTTTCAGAAATTCTGAAATTGCTGTACACTAAACAGCTAAATTTTAATTAGATGAACAGAATTCCAAGAGCTGATAATTACAACTTTTCATCAACTGAAGATCTGCTTAATGAAAAACAACCAAGAATTGGTAAGTGGATCCTTAATCTACATAAATGCAAACTTGTGTCCTATATAAAAAAAATAAATTACCTACTTGGCAAAACTTGCCAGAAGAGGTGGGAGCCTCTATCTCCTGATGTATGCAATCCAGATAAAGGATAAAAGTTTTCAAATGCAAGTTACCAGAACTGATTTGCCACATCAACCTGCAGCTTCGTGTCCTCATCTGGTCTGAAATCTAGATTGCTGCACATTTGACTCAGTATCTTTTTGTGCAAATCATTCCTCTGATATTGGCTGAATATTGCTTTAGGTAGATATGACCATGATTAATAAAAGAGGAAACTCAAGAGACGGAAACAATGTTTGACAGACTCA